ACCCATGAGTTTAGGGGTGGGAAGAACTTTTTCGTCTTGTTTTGACCCCAAGACTGATCTAGATTGGCTTCTTATTTGCTCTTTTTGAAAATCAAATGTCTTTTTGTGTGTTTTAATTTGCATGTAATAAAATTCGAGTTTGCATCTGTCATTTCAGCAATTGGCAGATGTATCTCAATGATAAGCTTTTAAGATTTGGACCATGGATTCTTTTATATTCTACTTTCTTCTATGTTAATTGTGTTTGTATTTTCAGGTTTTTTTTCTTTGGGGTCAGATTTTGTACTTTCAGATTGGCTAATTAAATAATACAGAATCTTAATAGTTTTCCAAGAGAAGTTCTATAACACAGGAATGTCAATGTAGCGGCATCTCAAGCTAATTACGCACTATTATGTGAGGATACTAAAACACATTACAATTAATGTGTGATTGATTTGAAATACTGCAACAATAAAAAGAAACACATGCACTAGCACTACAATTCAAACATGCATGAATACTGTCTGGCTTTCTTATTTTACTTTCTTTCTTTTTTCCTTCTACGTATTTCAGCCCCAATGAGCTTTACTCCTTTTGTGTGTGGTTGAGGCAATTATAGACAATATGCTTTCTGTCTTTGGTTACCTAAAAAGTCAAGAATAAGCCATGCCTTTTGGTATTACTTAAACTGATACTGTGTTCAGGATTTCAGATTCTCCATTCGATTGGCCATTCCTTATAATTATGTACTGGTATGTTGTTATTTAGAGAGAGAGAGGGAGGGAAGAAAGGCAAAGTGTACAAACTGGAATAATTCATATCTCTCTACCAATCCAAGCCTTGAGTGTTGGTCATTTGAGCTGCTTATATCTTGCTCTCTGGCTCTGCTCTTCTACTAAATCCGGCTCTCTGGCTCTGCGCTACATAAAATATAAAAAATTAATACCTCTGCTGCAATGTTTCTTGTATTTTTACTTGTATGTGTATACATTATTCACGTTCGCGTTGTCACATTATGGATTTAGTTTTGAAGTGAGAATCTTACTTGAAGTGAGAATCTTACTTGGATTTCTTGCAGTCATAGTCAATGGCTGATCCACCTAAGGACTAGTAAAGGCTATTGCCCCTACTCACCCTTCTTCCTATCCATGAAGTTCTAGAATCTTTATTGAAGATATGCTTGAGTATGTTGCAATGGGGCAAGGTCTTTGATAGAAGTCCTCTGAGAGAACATGGAGGGGCAAAGTTGTGCGGGCAGCTAAACTTCATATGTTCTTTGTTTAAATTGACACACCAAAACGAGGTCGTATCTTGTTACTTGTATATAATTCATTCATATTTGAAGAATATTGAGCATTGGAATTTTTAGTTCTATTTTGGAATTCCCCAGTATTCATGTTACTTAGAAAATATTTTGGACAATAAACAACTAATTAACCATGATGTCCTCCTTTTTCCTTCTCCAATGCACCGACCTTTCCAAATTATCTACCACCATTACTTTATGCCGGCCATCATTACGTTCGAACCCATTCCAACATTACTATTAAGAATTAACATTAAATAATTATATTTGACTCCATCATATTTTCTAATTATAATATAGTAATTACTCCTTTCATGATAACCACTCTTCTAAGATATACGAATTCCTGTCAGTTTTATTTGGCTGCTTATTATGTGTAAGAGCATCTCATGTTCATATACCTATTAAAAGACAAGACTCGTGATGATAGGAACAATGAGTTGAACTACTACCCCAATATATAATGACTATCATGAGGATTAGGTAACGTGGTTAGCTAATATGATTATAAAATATGACTTATCTAATCGCTTCTTATAAGGTTTTTCTGTGTAGGGAAGGTTTGATTTTTTTTTGCCCCCAAAGTTGAAAGATAACTTTATTAAAAGTGGATGGAAACATGAATTAGATTGTTAGACATTGATTTCTCTTCTTTAGAGCATTTCCAGCAGTCAAAATGTTGCCATGGCAAGGGGGGGGCAAGGGGGGGGTACTATTCACGGGAATAGTGTCTGCCCTTGCAAAAAGTAAGTTGCACTTCCAGCAGTTGCCAGGGCAAGGGGGGGGTACTATTCAATTTTTGTTTTTTTCACAAATTTGTTTACCTAAACAATTAATTTTGACAATATATTCGGATGAGATTTTCTGATAAAATATTCGGATAAGATAAGATTTTCGGTTTCAAATTTCAGATAAATTTTTTTTTCAAATTTCAGATAAATTTCGAGTTTTCAATTTCATATTAATTTCATCTGAATTTCAAATTTGGTTTTAAATTTCATTTTAATTTCAACTTTTCATTTGAATTTCAATTTCAGATAAATTTCATCCGAGTTTCAAATTTCGGCTAAGATTTTCACCCTATAAAATTGCGCCATGTGTCATCTGAATTTCAAATTTCAGATAAATTTCATTTGAATTTCAACTTTTCATTTGAATTTCACATTTCAGATACATTTCATTTGAACCGTATGATTGATCGATATACGGAGATGCAATCTTCATATATTCATGAACGCCGTCAAGTTGACTTAATGGAGCATTTATGGACGGTGAAAGGCAATGATGGTGAATGAAGTGAAGTGAAGAACATTTTTAAGATTTTAATGTTTATGTTTTATGTTTAGTTATGTTTGGTTTTTTTATGCTTTGGTTGTAGTTTGTTTGTTTTATATATTTAATGCTTTGGTTGTGGTTAGTTTTTTTATGTATGGAATGTTTTGAATAAAAAGGAATTTTATTTAATAGTTTCTTTGATAGAGAAAAATTAAACTTGAAAGTGAAAAAATTTAGAGTTGAAAGTGAAAAAAATTTAGAGTTGAAAGTGAAAAAATTATTGAGTAGAAAGTGAATAATTAAACTTGAAAGTGAAAAAAATTTAGAGTTGAAAGTGAAAAAATTATTGAGTAGAAAGTGAATAATTAAACTTGAAAGTGAAAAAAATTTTGAGTTGAAAGTGAAAAATTATTGAGTAGAAAGTGAATAATTAAACTTGAAAGTGAGAAAAATTTAGAGTTGAAAGTGAAAAATTATTTAGTAAAAAGTGAATTTGTTGTTAAAAGTGAAGAGTATGGATTGGTATTTTATAAAAAAAAATTCAGTATTTTTTGGGGTTTTTTTAAAATTTTTTAAGATTTTTTTCATAATTTTTTGCCTTGAAAAATTCCAGGCCGTTGGATTGGATGAAAATTCGGAAATCAGAAGGACCAGGTCGCGCCACGTGGCAGCTGAAAGAAAAAAAAAATTCGCGCCTGCTGACGTCACGCTGACGTCAGCTGCCTTCGGGCTGCTGCTCGGGCTGCCTTCGCCTTGGGGCCAGCCCAGGCAAGTGGACCCCACACTGCCCGGGCCAGCCTTTGTTGCTGGAACTTGCATTTGGGCTCCCCCCCCCCCCCCCCCCGAGCCCGAGGGGGCTGCTGGAAATGGCCTTAGACAATTCATAAATTTGGTCGTAGTGCCCTTCTAGAAAGCTTGTGAATAACTTGATTTACTACAAAAACACCTGCTCCATCATTAATCTTAAATCATTACATATAAAGTACTAATGGAGTTCTTGTGGAGGCTGGGTAGGTTTTTTTAAAATATTTTATTTTTATAAATAAAATTTTTAATTATTTCATTTGTAAATATGTAATAAGTTTTGAAATTTATTTAAATGTATTTCTGGTAATTACATATGGTGAAATAAAACAAGTTGTAAAAATAACAACACTCTTATTTATATATATATATATTTTTTGAAAAAACCACCGACTTATCTTATTGCTAATGTAAATTGTAATTGACTTATTGAGAGAGCACTCCCATTGGTCATGCTTAGAGCTCCACTCACATGAAATCTTGTTGTTGTTCAAACTTTCTCTTTTCTGTAGATTTTGTTACTTGGTAACTGGTTCAGGTTGTGGGCTTCGAGGAAATTGATCTTATAATATTCAAGAGTAGGCAAGTGGATTCCAAACAAACAAAAAAAGACTAGGCAAGTGGAGCATCTGGAATTTGATTTGAAAAATCCGCGGGCAATCCTTATCAGAAAGACTTTTATGAGTATTATTTTATTATCGTGATCATTGTGACATGCGTAATAATATTTTTAATATTATTGGTTATGAATAAAATAATTAACAAAATAGTTATCCCCTATAGCAACTAATCTGAATTGGAAAGTAGTAGTTATCTGAACTGATCCGAATGGAAAGTAAATAAAGAGACGGATTCCATTCTACCTCAAATCATTGGAAATTCGTACCGAATTGAGATTTAAAAATAATTTTTTACTTATAAATATACGTGTCAACATTTAATTAGTTGTATGGGATCCATTAGTGACCGGTATCATAGAAGATTGTCTCACACCCCTAATTTGGTACTATTGATGGCAGCTTGATAACTGTTATCACTTCCGCTAGAGGCAAAATATATATATATATATCTTTTCTTCCTGGCTTTGGGGTATACAGATAGAGACATAAATAGGGATAAAGATTATAGAAAAGATGATATAGATGCAAATTTCTATTGAGAAGTTGGGTTTAATTCACAGATTTCTATTTAACACGTTTGTCATTGAATAAAAAAGAAAAATCTTGCAAACATATCCCAAAGACCACGTTGTTACAAACAGTCATTAAGGGCAAACGTAATTGCTACAAATATATTACATAAACCATTACTGGACAAATATATTTACTACAAACACATAAACGTTTGTCACGTATACTTGTTCTACAGGTAATGTTTGTGATACAAACCTGTTGTATAGGTATATGTGGATATTCTACCTATCCTATAGACTGAGGCCCAGTTTGGGATTGCTGTCACTTTAAAAAAAAGTTGTTTCTGCCGTGCTTTGAAAATAATTAGATGTAAAGTAAAGCAGCTCCATGTTTGGTAAACAATATTTTTAAAGTGTTGTTAGTACAAAAAGCAGTGTCAAAACCGTTTGGTAAATTTTAATATAAAATTGTTGTAACTGTGAATAATAACTAAAATAGACATGATGTTAAAAGTGTTATGTACTAATCATGTGGTGGTAGTGGTAGTGATGGAGTGGAGGTAGTGGTGGTGATGAAGGTGGAGTTGGTGGTTGTGGTGGTGGTGGTGGTGGTGGGGATGGCAATTGTGGAGGTGGTGGTGGTGGTGGTAGTGGCAGCATAGTGGTGGTTGTGGTGTTGGTTGTGGAGATGGTAGTGGATGTGGAGGTTTTGGAGGAGGAGGTGGTTGTGGTGGTGGTGGAGGAGGTGGTGGTTGTGGTGGTGGTGGCGGAGGATGAGGAGGAGAAGGATGTGGTGGTGGAGGTAGTGAATGTGGTGGTGCAAGTGCTGGAGTTGGATGTGGAAGTGAAGGTGATGTCATTTTTAAAAATGAATGATGGTATTTTGGGAATTAAAAAAAGTAATTAAAAGTTCAACTCTGCTTTTTTTGAAAGCAACTTTTAAAAGCAACCCAGAGCCTACTTTTAAAAGCTGCTGTCAAAAGGCCACTACTTTTAAAATAATCAAGATATTTTATTTTACCAAACACCTTAAACTGATTAATTTTAAAGTGAAGCAAGTTTTTGGCCAAAAAAAACAATGCCAAACGGGGGCCTTAGTTTGGTTCATAATCTTTTTCACTACAACAGCAAGTAATCTAGAAAAATAAACCTTATAAGCCTAAGGTACAGGTACATCAACCAATACTAATAAACGGGAAGAAAAAACACAATCAAATTTTACCTACAAACAACAAATATGAAAAATAAACCTTTCCTTACATACCTTCACTGTAGTTATGTGCCAAGTCAACTATTTTTCACCCCATATTCAACACTCAAACTACCTCCATTATAGACACATGAACCTAACGAAAAAAAAAGAAGATAAGTTGAATACTTCATAGCAAGCCTAACGGAAAAAAAAATTTAATAAATAAAATCTGACTGTAACACAAGTAATTCAATCCTAATTTGGAATTTGTGAAAATCTTCATTAAGGAAGTCAAAAAGCAGCAGAGATTGGGATAGAATGACCGTAATTGTAGGAGACAAGCAGATTGTTGGGAGGGGTCGGTTTTATTTGCCTTTTCTATTTAATAGCACTAGAAGTAAATATCTTAAAAAGGATGGACAAAGGCATTGCTTACGTGTCCATTGGATTGTTTGGTGGACTGTTATTGAGGAGCCAAAATTGATGTCCTTCATCCCTTGTATATTAATGAAAATGAACCTATATCTAAGAACCCCTAAAGATTATCAATAAAAGTACACTTACTAAAAAAATGAAAGAAAGAGAGGAGCTTGATGAGGAGGAAGATGAGAGAGGCTCTAAATTCTTCAACGGAAGAGAAGTTTCTTTTATGAAGTTGAAAGCATTTCTCAAGATGTAATTGAGAGCTTGTGAATATGGTATTTTGTATAGGATGTTGAGGGATTAAGTGTGTAATTGGTGGATTTTGGGCTCTGGACAGCTATTGCTAAGCTCCATAGATATGTTGGTGTACTGGTTTTGAATTTTTCAGGATCCTAAAAGGAACAATTTCCAGCAATTTATAGATTTGTTGTATTGCAGCTATTAAGTAATTCGTTTCTTTGGTAAAATATATAGTTTCATCTCTGAGTTCTTTTGATTCCTTTTGAACTGGGTATAATTGTATCTTTGTGGAATTTGACAACCTTTTTTTTTGCCCGAAATCAAGTTTCATTGTGAACATCCAATTAAAAATCAAGGCTTAAATTTCTCCAAAAAAAAAATCAAGGCTTAAATGTCAAAATGGTCCCTGTGTTTTACTCATTTGGCCAATTTAGTACCTGTGTTTTTAATTTGGCTAATTTAGTCCATGTGTTTACATTTTTAGCCAATGTAGGACAATCTGTCAAATAGACGTTAAAATAGACATGTGCATAGCACGTGAGTGGGCATAAAGGTATTTTAACACAAACCAAAACCCTCGCGACTCTATTCCTTGGTGCCAATGACAATTGCCGTAGTCTGCGTTCATGAGAATTGGGGTTTCAACTTCAATCAGTTCCCTTGAATATCAATCACTTCACTTGAGTTCAAATAAAGATGGCAAGGAGACGAATCGAATCTGATAGAGGCTCAATCAACCCAGGTGAGTATTCTCATGTTTGGACCCTATGCTTTTTTTCCTTCAGTGACTCATTGTTGGTACACAGGTCATGCTTGTTAACTATTTTTTCGCTTTCTTGGTTTCTTGTTCTGCTGCTTGTTTGTTTTGCTACTTTGCTTTAATGGAAATCTCTTTAACCAAAGAAAAAAAGGACCAATCTCAATAAGAGTACCAATCTCAAACCATATGCTGTGCAGATAAAAAAATTCTTTATTAATAAAAGTCTATTACTTTTGCTGTGCAGAATCAATTCTAGATGTGTTGTTTTGATTAAGCTAGCATATACCAAAATAAGGCCATTATGGCGTCAGTTTCAGCAGACCTCTTCATTTGCAAATTTGTAGGTATTCTCGAGAGTGAAGCAGCCTCCATAGCGGGTGTTGGTGATCATGTTGATGAGATTAAGCGGGAGCTGGAATTCATGAAAGCCTTCTTAGCGAATGCTGACGAGGGTAACAAAGCACACACACAAGTAGAGCAAGTGTGGATCAGAAGTGTTCGAGACTTGGTCAATGATGTTGAAAACATCATCGACGAATTCATGTATCACGTGTACGAACAGCAAATTGCCGGTCGATTTGCCAGGTGGATCCACAAAACCATTCACTTTCCAAAGCACCTTTGGTATAAGCGTAAAATAGCCAACAAGTTACAGAAAATCGCGATGGCAATAAGAGCTATTACAGAGAGAAGTCAAAGATATGGTGGTGGTGCAGCTGTAGAAGGAAAAAGTACTTCTTCTGAGGATATTCGCAGATGGGTGCAGAATCAAGCGGAGTCTTCTCTTTATCATAAGGAGGATGAACTCGTCGGGATTGAAGGTGATAAGAACTTGTTAATGGGATGGCTGACGAACGAAGAGCAACGCCAAACTGTTGTGTCTGTGGTCGGGATGGGAGGATCGGGGAAGACAACTCTAGTTGCAAGGACTTTCAAAGATGAAATTGTAAAGAGACATTTCGAATGCTATGCGTGGATTACTGTTTCCCAGTCTTATGTGATTGAAGACTTACTTAGAAGATTGATCAAAGAATTCCACAAAGCAAAGAAGGAAGAGGTCCCTGCAGACATGAATAATGCCATGAGTTATAGCGAATTGCTGGAGATTTTGGTGAACTACTTGGAGACTAAAAGGTACCTAGTTGTATTGGATGACGTGTGGGATGTCCACCTTTGGGAGAAAATAAGGCTTTCATTTCCAGATAAACAACTTGGAAGTCGAGTCATGCTTACAACTCGAAGAGAAGACATAGCATCCTCTTCTTTTGGAGTTGAAAGCCAGGTTCACAAGATTCAACCGCTGGAAAAAGGTGATGCGTGGGAGCTCTTCAGCATGAAAGCATTCTCAAGTTATCCAAACAAATCTTGTTCAACAGAAATTCTGCCAATAGCTCGGGAACTTGTGGAGAAGTGTGAAGGCCTACCTCTAGCGATCGTAGCATTGAGTGGTCTTATGTCTTCTAAGAAGTCACTTACAGAGTGGAGCACAGTCTACAACAGCTTAAATTGGCATTTAACAAACAGTCCTTTGCTAGAACCTATGAAGATGCGCATCTTGTTGTTTAGTTTTAATGATTTGCCATACCGATTGAAGCAATGCTTTCTATATTGTTCACTTTTCCCTGAAGATCACGTGATCTTAAATCTTAGGCTCATCACATTGTGGATCGCTGAAGGATTTGTTGAACATGTCGAAGGGCTCACGCCAGAAGAAGTTGCAAATAGCTATCTTATGGAACTCTTTTTTCGTAACATGCTACAGCAAAGGTTTCGAGGACCCCTCCCAGCATGTAAGATGCATGATCTTTTGCGGGAGATTGCCCTATCTATAGCAAAAGAAGAAAAGTTTTGCGCTGTACATGATGGGAGTGAAACAATAGAAGAAACTGGGGCACTCCGTTTGTCAATTCAAACAGCTAATGGAGAAATTGGATCATGCACAGGTATATCACGGCTTCGTTCGTGTCTCGTCTTTGCCACTGACTTATCCTCATTCTCTTTCCCAAATAAATTTACTTCTGACCTTAAATTGCTGAAGGTTCTAGATTTGGAGGCTGTCCCAATTGATAATCTGCCAGACAATCTAACATCCTTATTTAATTTAAAATACTTAAATTTGAGTCGAACTCCAATTACGGAGCTTCCGGAATCCATTAGGCAGCTCCACAACCTTCAGACCTTGAACATCACGGGGACAAAAATAGAGGCACTTCCAAGAGGGATTTCCAAGTTGCTAAACTTACGCCATTTACTTATGGGCAGGTTCATTTCCAGAAAGATAATTGGGGTAAGAATACCATCAAGTATTAGTAAGATGAAGAAATTGCAAACTTTGGCAAATATTGAATCAGAAGGAAACATTATTAGACTTATTGGAAGTATGACCCAGCTTATGTTCCTTGGCATTACAAATGTGAAAGAAAGAGACGAGGAGGACCTATGTGCCTCAATTCAAGAGATGAAGGTCCTTTCCCGCTTGCTTTTATTTGTAGCTGATGGAGAGGAATTTCTTCGAGTTGACGCATTGTCTTCACCGCCTCTCTACCTTGATAGACTTAGATTGGTCGGCAAACTGGAAAAGGTACCACATTGGTTTTGTTCACTCCACTCTCTCGCATATTTGAATCTGCGTGGGTCCAGACTTGAAGAAGATTTTCTACCTCATATTGAAGCATTGCCCTCTCTACGTTCTCTTTGGCTTGATAATACCTCTGTTAAGAAAGAGTTATGTTTCAACAGAGGCTTTGTGAAGCTTTGGTATTTGCAGTTTCAGAATTTCGGATTATTAAATAAGATAACTATAGAAAAAGGGACGATGCCAAATCTCGAGTTCTTAGACATTCGTAGTTGCATGATGTTAGAAACATTGCCACAGGGTATTGAGCACCTTGCTAAACTACATGGATACAGATTTGATAATGTTTCAGAGAAGTTTAGAGATTCCATAAAAGAAGGAGGTGTGGATCATCCAAGGATGCTACTCGTCGACGAGAAATGTAAGAAATATATGTAAGTATCTTTTTTCCTTTCATTGACTTTCCTAAACCTAATGATTTGGAATATTTCCAAAATTAATGATTTGGATGTGAAGCCATATAAATTGTTTGTTATTATAATATCGCTTTTGTCTTTTTATGTATTTTGCAGAAACAAGTCCACACTGATTGAAGAATTTACCCATGAGTACTCTTTTTACTCTTTTTGAAAATCAAAAAATACCCAAGTTGATGTTCATAAAATTGTTTCTGTCGCTTCAACAATGGGCAGACGTATGTTGACGATTAGCTTTTGAGATTTGGATAATGGATTCTTTAATTGTGTTTGTAAGAATACCATCAAGTATTAGTAAGATGAAGAAATTGCAAACTTTGGCATATATTGAATCAGAAGGAAACATTATTAGATTTATTGGCATTAAAAATGTGAAAGAAAGAGACGAGGAGGACCTATGTGCAATGGCAGATCCACATAGTGGCAAGAGGGGTCAATTGACCCCTGCAAACCCAGAATCTACCATAGGAGGCCAAGAACTTAACCCCTGAAAAATTCCCTGGAAGGTGTTTGATGAAATACCACAAAGAGGAAGTAGCCGTAGCACACACAGGCAGCAAGCAGCTTGCTGCGCGCCTGAGCAGCGCTCACATCGTCTTTTTTTTTTCCTCTACGTCAAACGTACGTAGTTCCACCTAGTTCCAATATTTTTTTTTGGCCAAAAACAACATCATTTTGGCTCAGGTGTTTTTAAAAAAAAATTACAACTTAGGTAGCAACTCTGCTGCCTGATAAAACCTACGAGTGCATCTTGGACGTAAAAGGTTTCTCTTTCCTCTCTTCTCCCATACAAGAGCAAGTCTTTGCTCTTAGATATATACAGCAAATTCTCCCCATACATAT